AGAATCACTACATGTTTCTTATGTGCGCAGACAACACTAGCACGTACTGTGAAGGAAGTCAGCATATCTATTATTGTATCACAGAAACACACATGATGAATAAAATAGATGCTCAATTGTGTCAAAACCCCTTAAGTTGAAGTTTGTAGTACATTGTTTATAGAAAAAAATAATAAATAGGAAACAACGTAACTAAATTATTATAATAAAGAAAAATTAAGTAAAATATCTAAAAGAAATCACAGCATATGGTACTTATTTGTTTCTTATTTTACCAAACAGGAGAAGAATAATGTGACATCAATGTGTGCTCTATCTATAGCGAATATCTATTGTCTAGAGATAGGCTATGGCGCTAACCTATCAACATAATAACAAATAGATAAAAGTTTATATCTGTTCCTTATGGGACATGTCGTTATCTAGCATCCTGGTTCTATATCAATTTACTATCCGTAACTTCTACTACTAGTTTTTAAAGAAAATGATTATCTAAAGTAGTTGTAGATTCTTACTACTAGGTACTATGGGCATAGCAACCTTTCAATAATTGAATTTTTTAGTCACGTAATGATATTGTAATAAATTATAGTAATGCAGAGCAGTGGCGGCTTTGGCGTGAAACTTATCCCTGAGGTCGTAAGTTCGATTCCCGGCTGTGCACCAATGAACTTTCTTTCTATGTGCGCATTTAACATTCGCTAGAACGGAGAAGGAAAACATCGTAAGGAAATCTAGCCTTAGACCAAAAACGTCGACGGCGTGGGTAAGGCACAGGAGGCTGATCACCTACTTACCTATTAGATTTACAAATGATCATGAACAGACACAAAAATCTGAGGCCCAGATCAATAAGGTTGTAGCGCCACTGATTTTTTTAATAATACATGTAGTAATTAATTAGTTAATAAAGTAGGAATTAGTATTTTAATATAAAATTAATAATTCATAGGTGAACACACAAACCAACAGACAAAAGTGTTGTTCACAGAGTTGAATTTGTACCTAACCTACATTAAAAACGTTTTAAGTTGCTGTCTCATTAAATATACCAATTATTACATAACAAATTGTAGTTCCTTAAATGATTTTAATCTGTTTCAAAGAAATTTCACCAGCATCCGCATTGGTTGAATTGAATACTCGAAACCGGTACAAAGTACATTCGGTTATTTACAAGAACGGAAAACCGGTAATTCATGCTGTCAAGTGTTTTTAGATGATGGTGTACAATTGTTCCAATTTCACTAATTGCTAGTGTCAATTTCATTACAGTTTAAGAGTGAGTGAGATGTTTTCCAAATCAAAAACCGGTAATTCATGCTGTCAAGTTTTTTTTAGAATTGTACTAATTTCACTGTACTAGTTTTTTTACTAACAAGTTTGTAATATTTTTAATGTAGTTGTGACGACAAACCCAATTAGTTTTCCCAAGAATTGAAACTATGACCTTATGATAAAAACCAAATTTTAAATTAAATGCTATTATTAGGAATATTATTATTTCCTCATTTACAATTATAACTCAGAAAATCCCGTCTAAGACGATTTTACAGCATTACGCTACGCAGGAAACCGTAATTTTTTTAACGCATTGTAACCTATTTTCTATATCAATTTTATTTTTTATTTTTTAGTCTATGGTCATAGCACTGGCGTGGCAAAGAAGTATGTATGAATAATTATTTTAGACTACTCGTACAACGTTAATTTTAAAATAAATTTGAAGCTCTTCCATAGAATTTGGGAAGCATCCAGAGTTTTTTCGGCGCTTATTATTTGACAGTACTATTTTTGTTGTCTTAACATGTCTGATTGTCTTGAATGATATATTTAAAAATGACCTTTGCATTTTAAGATTTGATTGCATCATTGACGTAATTTTCGGATAAAGTTTTTGCTATCATTATATATTTTTGGAGTTTCTTTGTATTATTTGTTTTTAAGATCAATAATGGGTTTCTTGATATACATTGCTATATTTCCTGTAAATATACGTAAGTTTTGGAAATATAATATCTTATGTAAATATTGTAATTACTAGAGAACCTAAAGATAATTACTTGTTAACGGATGAATAACAATTTTAACAAAAAGTACTGGCGAATTGCCGAAAAAACAATTGGTTGAACATATCTGTATCTATGCATTTGTTACTTGTAATTAACATTAAAATAGAACACAAGGACAGAGTACCTTCCCCTTAATAGAGACTGTAAGTTATTAGACACTTTCTTATGTGACATTTTTATCATTAAATTAAGTTAGACTTAATTTATTTAATAATTGTTAGGCAGTTTGTGTGTACGCTTGTCGGATCTGGGAGACAAATTTACGCGTAGGGTATTACTTATTTATTTAATTTTTAATTTATTTTCATTTGTTGTTGGTACTAAAATTAGTCTTTAAGTAATGTACTAGCTAACTAAAATAGATCTGTTTTATCTAAATGGTACAAATTGTTATTATTATTAGATATTAAATTACTTTTTAGTCTCATATTAGGCTAGATGTTCGATGATGTCTCAGTGATGATACTATTTATATATAAAAAACCTATATGAACGAAAATTATAAAATAATACAGTTTTTAATGATAAATCCTTTGAACTGAATAAGATTTTCAGTTCGGAAATGAAAACACATATTCTACATGTAAACTCATATATGCATGTTCCACAATGAGCTTACAAATCAAATAAAACCTTCAATCATTTATACAATATATCAAATCAACTCTAAGCCATATGAGCGTATCTCGTTTGATAAGGCTTATGTCATTGCTAGAAATAAATCGATAAAAAGTAACACGACAAAATATAATAACGTATTGTACTTCTACTTTCACCCGTTTGAAAATGTTTACAACAAAATATGCTTCGTACAATTACTTGCACTTTTTAATTAAATTGTCTTTTTAGAAGATTCATTAATTGACCGTTGGCTTGTTTAATATGAACAAATACAAGCCGCGCTCAACGACATAATAAGCTGCTCTTGGCTCCTTCCATTTTCGAGCCATATGCCAACCAAATCTCTCTCTTCCAACTTTGATTTGGTTGACTTTAGAGTAGAGGCTCTTGGGCCGGGGAGTTCAAGTGCACAGGCGCTTATTAAACATTTAAGTTTGCGCCTGGTAGATAGTACTTGACTCCAGAGTTGCTTTCCTCGCTCAACGAATAAGTAACGCAAACAGTGACAAAATGCTGCCAGCATTAGTATACTGCCGGAGCAAACTTTTTACATTTATTTAAGTTTTTTTATACTTTAACTCTATATTAGTGTTATGAATATAAAATGTCATGTAACAATATAAAAACAGTTATAGTATACTTTTTGTAACTATTAATATCCTAATTATATTATCATATACAGGATAACCTAAATCGACCTATTTTACTTGGCAACCTTTGAAAAACCATCTATGCCAATGATAATAAGCTTTTTGAGAAATCACCAAACGATTGATCCTAATCAAAATACTCTAAAAATCTATACTTCTTAATTTTGTTTGGTTGAAGGCAGTTGGAAATGAAAAAATTCTTTTACTGTTGGGGCGAGTTAGGTACGACTATAGGTAACGCTACGAACGAATAAAATCGAGTGAATGAGGTGTATGATGTGTAATAAGCCAAAATCTCTTAACGAAGGTCTGTAAACCGGACTGCTTTAGTCTTCAAAAATACTGACTGGACTTTGATGCGATTGCGGCGACTGTATATTACAAATATGTTTCTAACCGTGTGGTTATGGAGTCATAAAATCTGTGAAATATTATGGTTATAAAATATTAGTGGTAGACACCTTCCGTGTATAATAAAATCGTGCGAATTTCATTTGTATTGTATAATAAGGTCGTGGGTTCGATCCCCGTCTGTGCAATGGGCTTACTGTCTGTGCGCATCTAACACTCACTCATACGGTGTAGGAAAATATCGTGAGGAAACCGGCATGTCTTTAATCCAAAAATCGACGATATGTGTCAGTCAGAATTAGAAAATGATCGAAGTAACGGATGCGATCTGAGACCAAGACCCACCAGGGTTTAGCGCCACTGGATTATTAATATTCAAAAACACCAAACCTAACCTCATTTCTTTGTGTATTTATAAAACTTTGTAAGTTATATAAACAAAAACAGGCATCTATCGAAAAGTAATTCGTTAAAGTTTCGTTTAAAATCCAAAATAATAAAACAGTATTGCAAGGCCGAAATCCTTTCCAATGAATAAAAACCCTGACTGTACGCTCATTAAAACGGAACTAATTTTAATCCAATCGTTAGTTTGCGAATCGGTAACGGCATTTTTTTCTTTTTTATACTGTTAACAGATTTAAGGCGTATTATATATTTTCAACTTCTAGTATGTGTAAGAAAATTAGCAAAGAATTATTAAAACAGCTTTATAGGTAAACAAGGATTTCTGGAACTAAATGTACGTTTAAAGTTATATAAGTATATATAATATACTCAAATAAAATTCAGACAGTCGAAACGAATAATTCGAATAAATCGCAAAGAAACAAAACTTCTATATATACAGAAGGTTGTTTGCACTTTCGTATCGCTACGTCACTAATTACGTGGGCAAACGTCAAAATGCTATTTTACATATTTTTGTATTGACATTGTAATTTTCGTGTTTACGAAAATACGTTCGCAAAGTAGATTTAGGTAAATTTTGAAAAAAGAATTTATGCTGAATCGCATGCTCTCATGATTCAAATGAGGTTGTAAAGCTATAAATTATCTATGGTAGATATACTGCAATAATTATATTGCAAATAAGTGCACCAAAGTTTTTCGAAATTAGAATAAAATATAATTATATATGTTATGAGAACATATTTTTTCTTTATTTGATTTAGAAATACGGTAATACTACTATTTTCGTTATATTTAAGTTTGTATTAAACTAGTAAAGCAACTATCGATGTATTAATGTTCAACTCTGTGTATATTAAACCTTCTATTTAAAATAAACAAAAATATAAAACACTTACACATAGGCCTTAGTCTCCTGAAGACGGACCATCAGGTCTTTCGCTGTATCGTACACGACTTTCGTCAATTGTGTGGAAACAGACAGCAAATCGGGCTGATACGCCACCTCCTTCTGCTTCTCCTCATCAGCGGGGTTAGTAATAATATTGTGCTTCCTCTTCATCCTTTCCAGGGTTCTATTCGGTTGGCTTTGTTTAACCGGTGCCTCAATGGGCGAATCGCGAGTGCACACATTACACATTTTATACGTTCGTTTTCAACCGCAACTGGTGGAGACTGAAGCGAGTTGCGACTTCAAGAATATAAATCGGGCTGAACGTATCCCCACTTCTCGTTTGTCGATAACAGTTGATAGTGTGTACCTGGATATTTCCTAATGATTGGTTTGAATATTCAAACAAAAACAATAATTCCTAATGTCTTTTCCTCGGAGACGAAGCGCTAAGTGACCATCGTATGGGCTATTTTGCCTAAAATCAAAGCTTTAAGCAACGCAACTAATAGGAAATAATATAGTATTTTTCATACAAAGAAATTGTAATAAACTATCGATTTAGATATAATATAAATATCGACGAAATTATTAGTCATATTCGTATTTATATGGATAAAGATATCGCACAGTTAATTAACAGCGATTTTCGTTAAAAACTTATTGCAACTGATAAAAGCAGCGCTACGACCCTTTATCTAGCTATAATATATTGCATATGTTTCTTGGACCGTTCCAATTATTGGATCTAAGACATTGGTAAGGTCAGCTCTTGCATACAAAAATAGCAATTATACGTGACAGATTATTTAAATTCATAAACAATTCCAGGATAACTGACTGCGGTAATAACTGTGATTCCTAGAAAATTTGTCTTCATTTGAATTTGTCTCATGGGTTTTGTACATTCAATTTCTTAAAACCGAGTAAATACTGAGTATGGTACGAGGGAAAGTACCTGTATCTTAATGAATAACAGTTTTTACGCACAAAAATATTTGTTCGGCGGAGCGCGGCGCCATAGACAGCTTTCATTAGAAGAGACCTACTTGACCTCGTGTTCTGTGGCCTTCTGCTGTCCAAAATAATAGTCAGCAGTGACGACGTATGTAATGCAATTAATTATTTCTATGGGAAGTTAGCCGAGCGAGAGAACTTCCATGAATTTCGTAAGGATATCCGAAAACGACTACGTGATAATATCCTATTATTTATCCAGGTTTAGTGGTATTTTAGTTCAATAATTCTATATAAGATATGCCGGAATCCACTTGTCACTTGTAGACACTAGGCAGGAGTGGTCCCATGTAAAAAGTGCTGATAAGTATGTATATGAAAAGGGATAAATAAACTAACGTGTAAAATCTATTATTTCTCTTGAGTCTAAATGTTTGAGATTTGTATACCTATATTATAATTGTAACATATATTTTTATTAAAATTAATAACATTTTTAAATTTAATTTTTTAAAGTTAAAAGCGCTGCAGCCAGGACAACCTTTTAGGTCCAAAAATGTAAAAAGGGAAAACCACATTGGCACGCGAGATCACAGCTAAAAACTCTTTTTGGCAAAACAAATAAAGAGTTCAGTGATATTAAAGTTACATATACAAAAACGGATTCTTTAATACTATTTATACAGCTCTATATCCGAGCTGTATAACTAACGTATACTCCTTAGTATAGTTGGATAGAAACGTTTTCTAAATCTATGAAGATAAAACTTGTACTTATTATGTTAGAACTGTTGCAATAATATATGTAGCAATTAATTATTTGTACAGTTACTAAAAAAAACAGTACACAAATATATCAATTTTTGCCTGTTCTTTCCCAAAACGCAAAACTCAATTTAAATATATATATATATACGTATAATGTATATCTACAAAATAGATAAAAAAATAAATCTGTATCAATATGAATAATAAATAAAAAACCAATAAATACCGCGATAGCATCGTTTGATGCAATTATTTTTTATTAAGGCGGCTCAATTGTAGTCCACTGTAATTATACCTACCTACTTCAAAGGAGCGGGTCGATAATCGATTGAACTTTTAAATTGGTATTTTCTTTAGTTAGAATTCTAAAGAGGTTTCATATTATAAGGATGGCAATTGACATCTATGTTTAATCAGTAAAGCTAAGTAGTAAGAATTATTAATAAAAAAAAGTATATGTATTAAATAAGATTTAATTTTATTTTATTGCTTTTGTGATAACAAATGTACCAAGCTGTCATTTTCAGGACTAAACAAATTGCAACAATCGACATTTTGTATTAAGAAAGAGTTTTCTATTATAATATTATAACTCTGTAGCGATGATTTGTTTGATCAAATGAGTGAATGTTTTCTACATGTCTTATTAAGGAAGGACGCTGTTACCGGACTAACACGGGTATCAGCAGCTTTAATACATTAACTCAAACAATTATTTTATAAAAATACTAAGCATCTGGTATCAATTATAATTTTAATGAATTATTGATTAATAATACTTTTATACACCAATAAAATAAAATACCTATGTATAGAGTAACGTTTTGAAAGAGTCTCCGGGGTATTTCCAGCTAAAGATAAGATTGTATCTTTACAATGAAGGGCCTTTAAATTAAATTCTTTAATTAATAAAAACCAAAGCAATCTTTATATACTGTTTTAACTAAAGTTTGAGCTGTCTCTTTTCTCATCATTGCGGCAATAAAACTTAACAGTAAGAGACGAATAACGAAAGTAAATTATTGAATTTCCATGAATGGGCTTGCGTGTTATATTATCATCCTTGCAAATTATTTTTCTGATTTCGCATTACAGAAACTTTAATTCAAAATCAATTATTCTCACGCAATTTTTAAATAGCCTACATATTTGTGCGATTGTGAACATCGCACTGAGCATTACAGTTATACTAAATAAAATCAATAATTTGTTTAATTCGCATTTAATGTATAACAGAACTATGTATAAAATATATAAATAAAATAAATAATAGGAATAAGGAGAAATTCTTATATTAGGAAAAATGCTAGGATAGGAGACCTTACAAAGAGTACTCGAACAGGTAAGAATAAGTGTAGATGGACGGGACACGCTTTGTGAGGAGAGGAAAATGTGGAGGAACTTTATAAATGAAAAAAGGCAGACAGTCAAGAGATTTCAAGATGATGTAGGGTTTGTTGCCTGGTTCCAGGCAAGACTTGGTCAAGGGTTGGAAGAGAAGAAACATAATGGAAGAGCCTGGCAGAGGTCTTTGTCGGGAACGCCCAACCCTGAACTTATATAGGGTTAAAGAAATAAAATTGCTACATAGAAAAATTCCTTTAATAAATTGTTGACAAATTTTATTGTGAAAATAAATAACAGGTATTGCTAACAAACAACATATTAGTAATATTTGCTAAAATAGTATCAAGATTGATTCATCGAGTGATTTATCAATAAGATTATATTCTTTTATATTAAATAAAATATAATAAAAACTCCTTAAATCTTTTTGATGTTTTGTGATGTTTGATTTTTTAGCATTAGGTGTTGCGAAAGGAGAGAAGTACTAGAGAAGGGACAAGTCAAAAGTTCCCATAACCGATGAGCCTGCGTGGATGTGAATGAGGAAGATGTCATGAAAGTGGATGAAGCAAGGGTATGTCAGGACCGTGGCCAGTGGACATCAGTGGTCTCTGTCTACCCCATATTGACCCCAGGTTTTAAATTATTATTTAAATTACCTATATTTTGTAGGCCGCATCTTCAACATTGATTAAAACATGATTTATTTCAGGAAAACCGTTGTTATTAAATAAACGCCAATAAATAAGGATAATAATTTAAAGATTCTCCGGAGTTTCCGTAATACTTGAGATGAATCCCTTCAGGAAACCTGATCTTTTAAAGGCAACGTCAAGCATAATTTCATCTGTACCTAGGATAGGTAGGCGTTTGATTGGAATCTAGAAGGAAGTCTCAAAGAGACCTGATGATTGGTACTGTGTAACTTCCAGTAGCGAAATCGATCCCGAAATTTTGGTATAAATGAATCAATATCAGTAGCGCTCATGTCTAACCTTGAGATCGCACGGAACAACATCTTAGGGATTGCTGTCGGTCTGCTTCCATTGTAACAAAATAGCAATAATGATACAAACTTTACTGTTGAATTTTTGCACTGCACGATCTCAAGGAGACATCGTTACGGATGTTGAGGTAACGATATCGCAATTAGGCACGAACTTTGAAGTTAAGGTGCCGGCAGCAGATGAGAGGTGGAAAGACTTGGAGCATGATAAAATGCGAAGATCAAAACCGAAGGCGATGATTGGTCATTTCGGACGCCCTCTGTTTCAATCCAGGAGACGTCAAACATTAAATAAGGATGTTTTGGAATAGTTCTAAGTACGTATTTAATGTACCAAGAGTTGATAAAAAAAAATCGGTTGTCTGTAAAATCGGTTTACTGACGATAGTTGAACGTGACAACGTCATAAGAACTGATGGAATGGTTGCATTTTTCAAAAGAATATTTGAATTTTATTTGTTTGATAGATATTTTGTATGGATATAGAGAAGGAGGTAAATGGAAATCACAATTGAATTGATCAAATTACATTTATTTGTACGCATAAATACAATTATGTCAATGGAACGCCTCAGCGAGGTAACGCCGCATGAGTCATGTTTTTTCGTGCGTGCAGCCGGCTCCATCGAATTATACGTTGTCACGTCAATATTAGTTTATACACAAAGTACACTTTAAGTAGCCGGTTTTTCTTAAAACAAATGCTATGAACATGCACCATGTACCACGGAATAATTGTTATCTGGTTACCCACAACTCAGGGGCTGTGTGTGTAGTGTAATTTTGTCACAACCATATTTCTGTCACGAACAAAGTTATTATTATAATAACAGCTAAACATCGGATTGTTTATATTAATAAGAAAGATCAGAATATACCTCGATCCTTGGTGTATATGAGGCTTAAATGTAGTGTGTCTCATCACGTATATTATCCTTATTCATAAACAGACTAGTCACAAAATAATAGTAAAATAATATTTTTTGACGTGACAACGTCTTATAATTCAAAAAACATGACGCATGCGGCGTTACCTCGCTCTGAGGCGTTCCATTTAAGGCTTGAAGTGCAAGCGAGAGCGCGGAAGGAGCGACAAAGAGGCACAATCGGCCTCCGCGTTCGGCAGTGCGACATCTTTATTGTATATAAAGTATAAATTGTATTATATCGATTATATTGTAATCGATCAATTTAATTGTGATTTCCATTCACCTCCTTCTCTATATACAAATTATCTATCAAACAATAAAATTAAAATTTTCTTTTGAAAAATACTACCATTCCATCAGAATTTTCTTATGACGTTGTCACGTGCAACTATCGTCAGTAAACCGACTTTACAGACAACCGATTTTTTTTCCAATTCCTCTTTCAAAAATATTTATTTTTAATTTTTTAATTTTCTGTAGGTACCTGGTAAATATTTCAATCACAGAATAATAATCTTATATTAAAAATTTTATGTTACGCCTCCTGCACTTCTTTTCAAAACACACACTACCTAGAAGAGAGCGATTCATTGATAAGGCTACTAAAGTATGTATGTACATATGTGTTTAGTCAATGTCAAGTTTGTTTATTTTTTTAGTTCGTAAAACCTATATTCTTCAAGTTCCATAACCCTCAAATGGATCATAAAACCGGTATTTTGAGAATCAGTTGATTAGCCAATTACATCGCTGGGAGTCGAGTCCAAGACTTCTGGATTACATGCATTACCGAATACTATGTGAAGACAGAGTCAATCAGCAAAAAAGCCTTATAATGCGTTTTAATTTAAAAAAAATCCACATATTATCGGGTTTGGGCGAGTTTAAGTCTTATATAATTTAATTCAAGGTTGGCAAGGGGACGAAAGGCATTGACCTCTGAGCCCTGACTTTGAGCTGAATCGACAAATTGTGGTAATTACCGAACCTTCCTGCGCGGTAGTTCCACATATGAACACAGTTTCGGCGTATTAATCTTTTAAATAAACTTGTACCGTATGCACAAACACGAGTTGTGCGTGTGAGACAGTTGCAACTAAAAAGGTCATCTGAATCTTATCTTCAAAGCCTTATGACAATTAAACAGAAAGAGACGAAATATTAAGTCAGTTTAAAGAGAGCAATTACGTCTAATTTTATACATAAAGTTGTTAATTGATAAAACAATTATGTAATAACCTGCAGTATTTAATCATCCGAATTTGAGGCAGACTGCGAAATTCCATTCTCGACGCCTGGCGTTGGCCAAAATCACTTTTTCATGCACTTTCTGCCGCCTACCACCTCATTATGGCTCATCATTATGGCTGTCAGTAAGAGTATTTCCGAACCGATAAGATTTAGGGGCCTTCAAGAAAAGTGCGCACCATTCCCTGGAAGCAAAACACCCGCTAGCCCACGGCGTTACAAGTTCAGTACAGGTCCATGGGAGGAGGTTATCACTTTATCCAAAGTGCATGATCGTTTCGCCCATAAAAAAATATAATAATCAAGTGTTGCGTTTTTATGGATCTTATCTAGTTTCCCTTAGATCATGATGTTCACAACCTGAAACCATATATCGTACCAGGGCCGTAAAATTTTCGTATTCAAGATAATGACCGGTAATTTATACCCTTACATTAAATTATAGTACAATCTACGAAAATAGTTTACCATCGTACATTGTTATGAAATTATCACACATCTATATTAATGACAATGAATCGCATAATATGTTGCTAAGTGCAAAACTCGAACGGTTGGACCAATTCGAGTATTTTTTTAATTTATTCCTTGATCTCTGAGGTAGGTTCTTATGGAGAGAAAAAAATTGAAAGATATAAAAAAATTGTTTCGTGTAGTTATGGTTTTTATTCGGAAACGGAAATTTTTCGAAAATGGGGTAGTATAGCAAAATGGTCCATATGTTCCTACTTCCGCTTTCCTTAACGTTGTTTCATCATTCGTTGTAGCCGGTCCATACATAGTACTCTCTTCTAAAAGTACGATCGGTAGTTCCTGATTATAAACCAAAAAATTAGATCTTGAGATATACTATTTTAAAAATTATTATTAATGTAACTTACGATAAAATATCTTTTTTTTGTCGATATACTTTATCTAAATCTACCTTTTATGGTTGAGCCGATAAGTTAAAAGCTTATACGCAAATGAAATCTCAACCTTCATGTTGTAGTTTAACTTGGCTGATAAAAATATTCCGGGAAAGAACTCAGTAATATAGAATATATTATTATACATATTCTAAAATAAGAATATATAATATGTTATGTATCTTGACGAAATTTTTATAATCCTTAATTAGCAACCAACGTCTGTCAGATTTTATTTAATGATAGTTACGTAGTTTCTTAGTTTTATTTTTGTGTATTGGCCCAGTAGAAACAAACACAACGAATTATTGCACGAGCCAATAGCATTTTGTCACTATGCTTTTTGAAGTTATACTTTTTTAGGCGCGTTATGAAAAATTTATGAGAGTGAAATTTTACGATGCGCGCACACCATGATACAAAATTAACAGAATGAAGTTGCCCACGGAAGATGCTACGGCATTGGACATAATTTAAAAACAACATTCGATTAATAATAGAATTTATGTTACACTTAATGTAAGAGAATAATTATAAATATTTATTTATTAAATTTTTCAAATGTAAACTGAACTTTATTGGCTGTAATGACTCCTTCCAGTCTTTGATTATTTAATTGTTATTAATTATTTGCATGCAATCAAAAACTATTTTTAATAATGCCAAAGAAGTATAACTTCTTACGCGCGTACATAAGTACACGCACCCTTTTTTTTTTAATAAGAGCGGTGAGTACCCAAAAAGATTTACACCCTGAGATTATAGACGTAGGCACTCTCTTCAACATTATAAGCATAGCATGGCATTAATAGCATTATTTAGTCCTATGAGTGTCGTAAATATTGGAGTAAAAATTATCTATAAGTTAAAGCCGATGAACCCGGGAAACGTATAATTATTCTTATGATTTTTCTTTCGCTGGCTTTGCTCAACACACTGTTGCTCACAGGCCTACGTCAAATGAGCACAAGTATTTTCGAAGCTATTGCCTTAGACATTTCCTTATTCTCTATATTTAATTGCTTTTTTGAGGGATGTTGATTTCGGGAGAATATTAGTTATTTTGTATAAAGCCATATTGACGCGATAAGCGACGGCTCGATAATTAAAAGTCCGTAATATGTTTAAGTACGGCATTAAAAGGAATTTTAGTTTGTCATTCAAACAATAGATATTCTATAGCAATGTCTATTTAATTCTTCAATAATGACAAATAACTCAAAAGTTTACATATTTTTATTATTTCTACCTATCCACTTATAATTATAAGATACTTTTAGAATTATTAACCATAGATGATGCAGCTATTGTGTTATGCATTGTTCATAAAATAATAAGTAATACTTTTAGATGTACAAATAAACCTTTTTTGAAGTGAAACACATCAAAAAGTCGCTGATTTCTCGTGAAGGTAATACAAGCATTCAAATCGTATGATGTTTTGTAAACGTATTATAACAAATATATGAAAGTTAAGTCCTAGAATTCATAACACCTTTGGGAAAGAAGCGATAAAAATATGCATTATTGCGTTTTATCACGTACAAATATAAATAATTCCTTGGAAAGCAAAAACACAATGCAACTTAGGATTTTCATGTTTTTTGTTACGATATAAAACCTTATTATGTTTACTTAGAAACCTATTAATAAACTATTTAAAAAGAATGAAAATTTGCTATTCAATCTTAGTTTTCTTACTGCTTTACAAACTTTACGCTTTGTTTTGAAAACATAAAATTCCTAAAAACTTCTAAATGATTAAATGTGTTGTATTTTGAAATAAACATTCTTAATTATATATCTTTAATGAGAAACTATGCAAGAGTTTTCCTAAAGAGGACATAAAGACACAACTTTTTCATGTACCTATCATTCATACATATAAGTTTTATTTTATAATTTTGCATTTGCGCATCTCCCGCACCAAAGGACGAGTTACACTGCAGGCCCTAAAGATAATTTATTTAATTGTCATTGATCCATGACAGCCGGACAATTAAATTCTCCAGACTCCAACACGACCGCAGAGAGTCTTCGGGGTTAAAAATCTACGTCGAGTGTGGACATATGTGTGGCAGGATGGGATAATCTTCTCCTCCCCCCGCCCCTTCTGCTTTGAGACGACTTAAATAAGTAAACAATACAACAAAAAAAACGTGTGTGTACACGCGTTAGAAGTTATGTAAGTAATAATTTTCTTCGAGCACTTTAGAGGGACGTTTC